TTAAATATTAATGACACAGTTTATAAATATTCTTAGCCCAAGCGCCAATGGCTTGCTAGTTCATTTACTCGTAACCTTACTCCAATATACATAGCTAGCCACTAGGTCTCTACACGATTGTGCCCTCATGACTTGTTGGAGACATTAAATTAACCAATACTACATTCTAATTACAATATTAAATTGTACATAATACACGTAACTATGTGTATAGTAATTTGTGGACTACACGTAATCTATCCATATCCATACTAATATTATAAATTTGAAAGTGTGTTTGTTTGTTTGTTTGTTTGTTTGTTTGTCTTTCTTTCACGTCGAAACGGCTTGGCAAATTGGCGTGATTTTTTGTGTGGAGAGAGTCGGAGGACTGGAAAGTGACATAGGCTACTTTTTAACGCGGGAAATTATCACTTTCCCACGGGAAAACACGTTATAATACAATTCAAAAAAATATATATGATCGGAATTAAGTGAAACTTGGTATAAATACTCTTCAACACAATTAATTAAATACGTGTTTTAGCATTTTCAGAAATTTATTCCATATGGTGGTAAAATAGCTGATAAAAGTTTGTATGAAACCTACCATTTTAGAGGGTTTTTTTGTAGTTTTAGAGCGAGCGAAGCCGCGGGTTCTGCTAGTATATTATAAATATCTGTTAATTTCAACCCTTAATATGAAGGGCTCAAAATTACATAATATTTTTTCATGAATCTTCTTATTTAGTCTATTTTCGCATGATAGCACAACAAGCTTGTTGTAATAATTGTATGCCTTATGAACATCTAGGCCGTTCATTTTTTATTAAAATATTTTGTAATAAAAATATTATACCATTAAATTTAAAATAATTTTTCACGACGATTTTCTATCTACAATGCTGAAATTTGTCATGCCCATTGTACATAACAACAAAGAAAATTTCAAATGCTCGTTAATCACTAGAGGCGTATCAAATTTGTCACTGTTTGATCTCCTCGTGTTGCGATATTATGAAATAATTAATGAACTCTACCCACAAACAATTGGTGTCTAGCAAGTAGATAGTATTATATTTAAAGCTGTAATTTATAGTTCTTTATAATAATTATACAATTCCATTTTAATATAATTATAATAATAAAACTTTATTAGCATTAAGTTTTGACACTAAATTTACACTAAGTGCAAAATAAAGCTAATTACAATTTAGGTTACTAACATTATTAACAACTAGTTTTCCCAGGATTCCACTCACATAGTCTATTTATGTATGTACGAGTATAACTGTTGCGGTACTGAAAATCGTAGCGTGATGTCAGTTATAACCTTCCTCAAAAATTTGACTATCAAATACAAGAAAGATTTATCAAATCCGGCTGGTAGTTTCAGAGATTAGTGCGCTCAGAGAAAAAACATACTCTTCCAGCTTCATCATATTAATATAGATAATAATATTTTTTTGTTTATTATAGATAATATTTGTGGTTAAAATTTTTAATAAATACATTTTGATATTCTAAAGACTTGACTGTCTATATTAATAAAAATATACAATATACAGATATAGCTTTATTAGAGTCAGTTTAAGCAATGTACATGTAAAACATGCAAAAGTACATGTAAAATGATAAAAATTACACGCAAATTGAAATCCAAAAAAGCTTACAGGTTTATTATAGTACTGTTAACATTTAAACAAAGTTACATTACCGAAACAGAGGCTATTATTCGCATCCGCTATAATTGTGGCTCGGAGCCAACAGTATTAATTCGTGAACGGCTATCACTTCTCATTTTTGTGCTAATTTAATGTTGAACTGATGAAAAATAAACATAATAAATGTTAAAATTCTATATAAATTGTTCACTTTCCGAGTCATCTCAGTGTAATTAATTAGTAATGCTTATAGTTAAGCGCAGGCGCTCATACGTCACGCAGACAGCGGGTTAATGTCGCTATATGTCACAGACGCGCTCTCGATGCCACTATGCTTGTCATATTATAATTACCGTCACTCACATGTTGTGAGATGGACAGTGTTGGTGCAAATAAATTTTGAAAATTAATAACTTGTATATATTATAAGGCAGTGGTAGCCCAGTGGACTATGGCCTGACCCCCACGTATTGAAGGGAGGCCCGTGCCCAGCAGTGGGACATTAATAAGGGCTGAATATATACATACACTTAGTATAACTGGCAATATACTCTACTCACATATACAACTAAGCTTCTAACACTCCTCTTTTTGCGTTGGGAGTTAAACAGAAGCTTAAACAATATTTCTACATTACTTATTTAACAAATGACGTACTTTCAACTTTCATCAGAATCAGTCAGTGTTTTATTAGCCAAATTTTACACTTTTCTTACAATTTCTTAAAAACTTTTAATAAAAGATAAATAACTAACAAGTACTTGTAATATTTGGTTAAGACTTTCATTAGCAAAATAAATTAAACTCTACCAAAGATTTGCTTACTTTATCATTAAGTTAGAAATAAGTATATTTTAATGTAAAAGTTTTTACCATTAACTAAACACACAACTTAATACAAACTTTTCATGTTTACTTTCTTCACTTTTACTAAGTACTTCGCTCAACCAATTTGTAAGAACCTAAATAAACAAAAAAGCAGCCTCCCTGTGTTAACACCACAGAATTACACTGTTCCATCCCATACAATGAAACAAAGTTACACACTAAAAGTTTATATAGTTAAGTTTCTATCAAAGCATTACACTTTCTGAGGACAAAAAAATAACCAATATTTTATTCTGATTTTATGTAATAGCTGTAAAAAATAAAGTACCTAAAACATAAAGCTGTACAATAATAAATATATAGCAGTTTGTGAATTACACGTAAACTAAACTTTGTGTATATTGGTTAAACTTAGATCTCCTTTTGAAAGGTTTATAATTACGTTTTTTAATCGTTATTAGTCTACTTGACGCTCTGCCGTTTGCGGAATATCGCACATACGGTAGTCGGTAAGTATTATAAATATACTCTAGCGATGCTTGTAACTAAACTTGCTAAATGAAACACAGTACAGTTTCCGCAAACAAATATTAGCCTTGTGTGAGATTGAACTTGGCTTAAAAGACTGGCGCCCAGAAAACTTTATAAATATGCAGGAAAAGAAAAACTTTTACGAGATATTAAAAATCTGTAAAGTGCAAGTCAAACTCGTTCACCAACTGATACTATATCATACTTACAATATTATGTTTATTATGAATCGACTAATAAATATAATCTTTTATACATAAAAGAGTAGTTTATACATAGAACACTGCAAAAAAAAATCTTTTCCCTAATTTTAATCATTTGTTGTTTTACTTTAACTAGTGTTCGCCACGTGGTCGAAATTAGACCATAATGATTATTGAATATTGAAAATATATATATAGATATATATATGAATTCTACGAGAATATATATATATATATATATATATATATATATTCTCGTAGAATTCATCTATCTATATAAAAAACTGTTCCAAATTTTTTTTATTGATAGCACCAAAGCTCGTCAATGGGAGAAGAGACAAAGAGAGGAGAAAAAGGTACTAAACCGTTTTCAATATCTTTTCCTATTTGTATTTACATTAACCGTGAATCATGTTACCAATTATCTGTAAATGTACAGCGGAATAATTTTTTCAAATCCAGGTCTCTTCAGAATCTTGAACGCGAAAAATAACTGTAATAGATTAATTTTGCAAAACAAAGCAAATTGTACGTTTCTTCCAATAAAAATCCTGTTCTTACTTAAGCATACAACAAAATAAACATATAAGAGATGTACGTATATACATATGTATATAGAATAACTTGATATCTCCTCGAGCATAATTCAAATTTAAGCGAAATGGCAGGGATATCGTTCGCAAACTTGTTAATATGCCCGAACTGTCGCTGTTACCCAAGTCCTGAGTTTATTACATTTTCGTAACGCTTAGTTACAATGTGAACAGAAATTAGGGGATTCGCCGAAAGTTCAAAGATGAAATTATTTACAAAATAATGGTATCTATATACATAAAACAAAGTTGGGTTTGTTACAACACTTATAACTCGAGAACTGCTGGACCGATTTTCATGGTTTTTAATTTGTTGGATTTGTCTCAGCTCCGAATAGCAGAATAACTATTAAAACATAAGAAAAAATGGACGAAAAAATTAATTATTATCTATATAGCTGACTCTGGCTAATAAGTATTTATATATACTTATAACGTACCTACCCAAGCGATGCGAGGGTGAGCCGCTAGTACTAGATAATTTTACTACTGTACCTATATTTCCCCTTATTATGGACCGATTTCAGAAGGACTAATTCAGATTTATTTATTGCGAATATTTCAGAATATGTATAAGTTGAAGTAGAATAAGTAGAAAGGCAACCACTTCCTTTCCTTACATATTTCACGTCTTCCTTAAGAGGTGAAACATGTAAGGAAAGGAATAATCACTTTTAAGTAATTTTGAATCTGTGTATTTTAATATAAGGACAAATTAAACCAAATACAGGTACAACAAATACTTATGAGTCTATTCTTTATTACAACGAAAATTAAATTAGACTTGTAATAATATATACTACTGTATATGATATTTAATTTTACATTTAAAAACAAATAAAAGAAATGAAATAAACGTAAACAATTTTCTATGAAATTTTCTATGTCTGGTAATAAGATTTAGCTATAATAATACTGAAAGATAAAAAAATATTGAATACACATTTTCATCTCTTTAATAAACATGAAGCAAATGTTATTTAAAAGGTTTTTCGTGATGTATGAGTATTTATTTCAGTGTGATTTAAAAGAACTGGCATAATATAAAAATATGATAATAAAACATTTTCCATGTCATATTTTAAACGTCATATCAATGTTATATTTTTTGTTTTGTTTAGGTACTCGCTTAAAAATTTATTCTACATATTTTAATTTCATAATTAAAAAAAAATATATTTTTAGATTTACTTTCAATAAAAATGGAAAGAAGACACGTAACCTACTGTACTGATCTGGAAAAATCTGTAATCATAAGTAATTTTGAGAGACGTGGGTGGGTTCAAGTGGGACCTGAAGAGGAATGGAATTTTTACTGGTCCTTTACTCAAAACTGCCGCAGTTTATTCAGTATTGACAGTGGTTACAGAATGAATGACAACCAAATAATAAACCATTTTCCAAACCACTATGAACTTTCACGTAAAGATTTATTGGTTAAAAATATTAAGAGGTATCGTAAAGAGCTAGAACGTGAAGGTAATCCTTTAGCTGAGAAATCAGAAGTAACTTTACCTAACGGACAAACCGCGATGCGGTACACACATTTAGATTGGATACCTGTTACTTACGTATTACCCGCCGATTACAACATGTTCGTTGAAGAGTATCGAAAATCACCCCAAAGTACTTGGATCATGAAACCGTGTGGAAAATCACAAGGGGCCGGAATTTTCCTAATAAACAAGCTTTCAAAACTTAAGAAGTGGTCCCGCGAAGTGAAAGCTCCGTTACACCCGCAACTTAGCAGCAAAGAAAGTTATGTAATATCACGCTATATTGACAATCCCCTTTTGATTGGGGGTAAGAAATTCGATCTGAGACTATACGTTTTGGTAACTTCATTCCGACCCCTCAAAGCTTATCTATTTCAACATGGGTTCTGTAGATTTTGTACCGTAAAATACGATACTAGCGTAACGGAACTGGACAATATGTACGTTCATTTGACAAATGTTAGCGTTCAAAAACACGGCGGAGATTATAACAGTTTACACGGCGGTAAAATGAGTATCCAAAATTTTCGCCTATATTTGGAAGGCACACGAGGGCGTTCAGTGACCGATAAATTATTTGCTGACATGCAATGGCTGATAGTCCACTCTTTGAAAGCTGTTGCGCCTGTAATGGCTAACGATCGACATTGCTTTGAATGTTATGGATATGATATCATCATAGATAATGAGCTAAAACCGTGGCTCGTAGAAGTAAACGCTTCCCCTTCTTTGCAATCAACTACACATAATGACAGGATATTAAAATATAAATTGATCGACAATATAGTTTCGGTCGTTGTGCCACCAGACGGGATCCCTGACGCCAGGTGGAACAAAACACCGAGCGAAGAAGCTTTAGGCGACTTTGACGTACTGATTGATGAGGAATTAATGGAGAGGGAAGACGCGAATTCACGCTATAATAAATTTAATCGGCTTAGAACATGAATTCATTTCATTTTATTACCAAATAGTCAAATATACGGAATATTTGACTTTCGAAAAGTTATAATAGAATATCGCCAAACAATATTTAAATATCGGTTTTTAAGTGCTTAAATTATATTTACGAGTGTACATAATTATAAAAACATTTTATTTTCATGCTTATAAAAATGCATAAAATTTATAATAGTAGTAAATAAATAACATATTATCTATTGTCGATATTTATCCTGTTTCAAGATTACATTTGCTATAAAACCAAATTACTTTTATGAAAAGACAATTTTCACAGATCATTGATTTTAAGTCAAACTATAAGCTTAAGTTTATGGACGCCCTATAACAATGGCCCTTAGTTGTGAAACGAGTTCTATCAGTGTGCAGAGACATGTTATAATCCTCCTTATTTCTGCCTGTGGTTTTGCCCCGTGGAAAGTTTTCTTTCATGTTCTTGTGCAGTACCATTTATTATTTAGTTTAGAACTACAATAGTATATAAATTGCACTATTGTGCTAAGACAGTGCATTACAGATATAAAATATAATACTAATACTACTATTATGCTTTGTTTCTTTCTATTACGTGACACGAGAGGCGTAGAAAATAGGATATACATATAAAAAGCAGTCATGAGGACTGACGACAGAAGTGAAAACTTAAAAATATAAACAAACAGTTGTTATTTTTGGATATTCAAATTAATTGTTTGATCTTAAATAAAACTGTTTACATTTATCTGGTTTTGACATCTATCGGCACTTTGAGTGTTAGCGTTAACACGTCACGCAGTCATATCAAGAAGACTTATGTACATGAATTTACCTCATCCCCCCCCCCCCCCTCCTGCCCCTCCTGCACCCAAACCTGTCTATAAAAGTTTTCACTTCAAAAAAAAACAGTTTCGTTATTCTATAACAACTTCATGACACTTTTATTGATACTGAGGAGAAAGTCTTAAATGAAAAAATCTCAACTCAATTCTTAGTTTTATGGCATTTAGACGTGCCAATTTATTACATTATACATCGCTATTATCTCGTGAAATGGACACACTGACATTGGCCTGTAGAAATAAGATATTCTACTTAGATTTCCCTACTTCTAAAATAACACCAATTTATTGTGATATTTGGCTCTAAAACAAACAAGACGATAGAAAGTACCCTATTACCATATAAAACGTTATTGATAAAATTATTATTTATGTATTTTTGATTATTATATATTTTTACATTTTATAAAACAAATTTCAGTATTAGCAATCTGAAATACCGGCTATTTTTACCACCAGTTTTAACGAAACATACCAAAACCATTAGTACGGAATATTAAGCAATATGCAGATTCTCGGTTATTTGCAATGCAATCACATGAAACATCGCCACATCGAATCTATATTAACTTTCAGAACGAATACGCTTGTACTGTGCCAAGTTAGCCACTCAGCATCTATTAGGCCACAAGTACAACAACTAACTATAAATCACACTAATATTACAAATGCCATAATTTATAAGTATAAGTTTGCTTATTACTTCTTCTTACTTTACATCGGCAAACGGTCCGTGAACGGAGTAGCAAACAAAATTTATGTATAATAGAAATAAATTTTAAAAACGTATTATTATGATACTCAAATACGATCTCGCTTCGTATAGGCCTTTAGTAATTTTCCAATAAACTAATATGCCGCAGGGGCTTAATGTACAGGTATAAAACCCTAAGCATTGTCACTCTCCGACAACCGTAAGGTAAGTGGTAATCGTATTAAAAATGATTCGCACGTGGAAATATCAGACGTGCGAGACTCGGGATTTGAACCCACTTCACTCGGTTTCCTAAGCGATCACGTCACCACTGGCCTACCACTGCCTCAGAATATGTAAATGCTTCAAATTTTTGTAGGTAGATTAGGAAAGGATTTTTGAAAATTCAACCCCTATAACACCTCCAGGTGAATTTCTAAGAAATTAATTAAAATTATAAGAAATCTATTGCTAACTGACACGCCGGCGTGTCCGCGGTCGTGGAGGGAATAAGGATAAAAAATAGCACTTCTTAAATATACAGATAATATCGTATATATTTTGTATAATCAATACTAATACAATATGTATTCTATAAAGTAATAGTTTAATATTAGTAATAAAAACAAGAGCACTAAAAAGTAAAAAATAACTGATTGGTAGTTTTCATTTACTATACATACCTAATCAAATATTTTCGAAGTCGGTGTGCTTTACTTTGTATGGGCTGGCACCGATTTCGAAAATATTTGATTAGGTATGTATTTAATAGGTAGGCTTTAATTACTTAGCCAAAGCACACCGACTTCGAAAATATTTGATTAGGTATGTATAGTAAATGAAAACCACCAATCAGTTATTTTTTACTTTTAAGTGCTTTTGTTTGAAGTCGGTTTTAACTTTTTTGTTAAAAAGTTTTTTTTTCCCTTTTTAGTGTAGACAGTAGTAGCAAAGTAAGAATTCTAAAGTATTAGGCTTGTCAAACCAAATAAAATAAGCCCAAACTCAAAGTATCTACTATTGGGAGTTGAAGAGTTCCACCTATCCACCTTCTGGCCTTACCATCAGATCAGATCAACAATACCGAACCACTGTACCTCCTCCTTTTTGAAGTCGGTTGAAAAGAAGATTGATGTACCTTCTGCAGACATGTCTATACTCAATGCAATCAATAAGCTAATATAATAACGGAGTCACGGAGAATATACATTAAATGTATGTACTTGAAAAGTTTTTTTGGGTTACTTTTAATAAAGATAAAGCTATAAAATAATATTTATTTTATTTAATTAAAAATAACAGATTATTGACCATACAATTATTTTTGCAGATATCCTTCTAACAGAAGTATAACAAAGTATAAAAATCTTACTTAAACTTGTATTAAAAAAGAACCGATAATTTGGTAGGTTAACCTTAAGTGTTAAAAAAGTCAGAAGTAACTAAAATATTTTTTGTTTTTTTATACAATATACATATTATAATTATATACCATTTACCAATATATATATTTATATATATATATATATATATATATATATATATATATATATATATATATATATATATATATATATATATATTTGTAATATTATATATATATAAATATATATATATATAAATATATATATATATATATATATATAATATTACCAAGATCATCTGTCATAATAAAAAAATATTTCAATACTAATCACTTACCGTAATTGATATACGTTAATAACCTAAAATTATATCTAATAGCCCCAATCATTGGCACTGGCTAGGACTAATGGGGTCATACCGCCCCCTACTTTATCGTTTACTTGTCACCTTTTACATTTTTTTATACTTTAAACCATAATCGATATTAACCCGCCAATGGTTACGTTAATTTTACTTACATTCTTGGTAACACCGGTCCCACGCATCGGGATCTTGAACAACAATTTTTTTTAAATTATTTTATATACAATTGGTATACTTTTAAAAATGTTTATTATTTGATAATAAAACAAGTTATTTTATCTAACATATTTCGGTTATTTCACAATTTACACACTACTTATACTTACAACTTAACATATTTTTATACATATGCTTTTTGAAATTTAAACAATCATTTGTTTTTCTTAATAAAATCAACCTCTATTATTCTTTTTACTCTAGGGACTTTATTAAAATTAGCAAAAACGGTTATTCTTCTAACAGAAAAACGAATGTACATAGCTTTATCAAAATGTAAAAAATATAACTATTTAACTTATGGTACGAGTACGTAGTGGATGACGCCGGTCTCACGCACCGCGTTAGAGTCAAAACTCAACTAAAAGTTCAAATTCAAATTTCAACTCGTATAAAGCTGTGTATTGTGTATGGTATGAAATTACAATTTTAATTTTTCTATTTACATGGTGTTAACTTCTTTTGCTAGTTAAAGCTTAGGTTCTCTATCTTCATTGTTATCTTATGGTGAATTTTCAACATAATTTAATATTCAAATCACATTGTTTTCTGCAGTTTCGTACAACATTACGCTTCTAACGTTCAATCCTTTTTCGATAAATGGGCCTACAGAAGTCAATAATCGTTAAGCTTTAAGATGAGGGTGCTGAGAAAACTCAATTTACTTTTTTATGTATGGAATACAAAACCCATTGTTACCTGTTAAGGGAAATAGAAATTTTTAAGTCCATCTTATTGAAATACACATTATTATCGATACAGAGGCCGAATCAATAGTTTTTAGAATTTTTGTCTGTTTGTCTGTCTGTCTGTTACCGCATCACAGAAATACCACTGGAAGGATTTTAATGAAATTTGATATGGTTATAGCTGGTTATCCGGGTCAACATATAGGATACTTTTTACCACGAGAAAATATCACATTTCTGAGAAAAAATGCAAAAACTGCAATGTTATGCTACTCTGTAAAACCTAAGAATTTGGTTTTTGGTCATCTGAACGCGGGCGGAGCCGCGAGCAATGCTAGTGTTGAATATGACGAAATGATTTCCTTTATGACTTTTGGCTAGAGATAAATATAGTTTTTCCATTTACATATTACGGATTTATTATATTATCCCTTTAGGTCGAGTGATCCGTCCAATAATCTGATCGGAACAACTTTTCTCAACGACAAAATCCAACAGTTCAATCCAACAGTTTGGTAATTTGTTCCATTTCAGATTGTTCCTTAAAATACCTAATATAAATAAATATGTAAATATGTTGGGACATTAACACACAACACTATCCAGTTCCATGCCAAGCTACAAGGCTTGTGTTATAGATACCAGATAGTTGATAAACTACACAATATATATTATACATTCGTGCTCATCACACAAATGAATGCCCCCAGCGGGACTCGAACCCGCGACCGCTGGCACAGCAAGTAGCGTAACTACAAACTGAGCCAAACGTATCGTCAAACTAAGGTATTTCACAAAAACTAATGCTTAAGATACTATAACTTAACTTCTCGTTTAACT